TGCCTCAGCAGGCGCTTAGTGTACCGAGCTATCTCGCGGGCTCCACACCTTCTTTCTTAAATGCACTCGGAGGAGGTTACAGTTGTGTTGTGATTGATACGGCGGGGGGAGACTTCTGAGCTTTGTTTTTAGGAAGTAGCTCTGATCTGCTGGCTGCTGTGCTCTTATCAGGGAGAGAAACCCAGGAAAGAAATTTTCTTAGTATCCCTAGCTCAGCCTTTGAGTTGAACCCGTGAAACAGTGAACCCAAAAGAGATTTCCAGTGAGCCCTTTGAGTCCATTCTGATTGTCATCGACAGCAGTAAAACAGTTACAGTATGTTTAATTTGCCTAACGTATGTTCAGGTGGGCCCTTGTTAGTTCCTGAGGGCATCTGTCCAACCTTCTCAATTTCTGTCGTAGTTCATAAAGAAATATTTTGTTTTCTGAGTGCCATTTGGTGGTTGTATCTCTCAGTGTAAGGGACATGGAATTTGGTCTGTGTATAACTTTGCATGCTCTTCATTAGGTATCACTGTATTTCTTTCTTACATAAAATCTGCTTAAGAAAGTCAAAGCAAGGGTGAGTGAGATAGCTTAGAGGACTAAGTGCCTGCATAGGCAAGTGCAGGGACCGGGTTTGATCCCCAGTACTGCATGCTGCACTGGTCCCACCCCTGGGCACTCCGAGCTGGCCCCAGAGACCAGATGTGGTGCTGTATACCTGTACTCAATCCCAGCACTGGGGAGGCTGGAAACAGGAGGATTACTACAAGTCTGAGCTGTGTAGTGAGTGTTTACACCAAACACATTAAAAAAAAAAGAAAGAAAAAGAAAAAGCCAAAGCATAGCTCATTGGTTTGAAAAAAAAACAACAAACTTTATAAGGAAGATTGAATAAATATGATGGCCATAAATATTAATATACAATTAGATGTTTGACATTGATTTTTTTGGGAAATATCATTTATTTTTGTAATGTGATAGTTAAAAGCATGGTTCCAGTGTATGTGGAACTCTAGAAAAACAAAGCAACAGCAATAGACAGTAGGTGAGTGGTTTCCAGGTGCAAGGAGTAAAGGCAAAATCTTGATAGACAAACACAAGGCAATCTCTGGAATGAAAGATTTTTGTGTCTTGATTGTGGTGGTAGTTTTCTGACTGCATATTTGTTAAACTGAACACTGACAGTGAATACAGTTACCGGAGATCCCACATGCCCCTCCCCATTTTACCTTCACTTTTTTCAATGTCTGTGTCCCTCAACCCCTAGACTGCTTTCAATTCTGACCTGAATTGGATTAAGAGTTCGCTATCAGACTCACATGCATAGTACCTTTGAAGCACAAAAGCTCACCAAAGCCTGTTGAACAATTTCTCATGTAAGACTGAAAAGATGTCTTTTAAGACATTACCATCATGTCATTTTCTTTTCCTCAGAATCTACGTGCCTACATGTGGGGCAGGTTTACTCATTCGTCTGTGCACTAATCCAGCCATACTCAATACCTTCAGAGTATGTTGTACATACTCACTGAAGCTAGGAGACCTGAGGACGAGTAAGAGAGCTTTCAGTCAAGTCCTAAAGATAACCTTGGATATCTGTATTAGTTGGTTTCCCCATTTCCGAGACAAAGTATCTCACACCTACAGCTTCCGTGATGAGAGTTTTTTGGCCCAAGTTTTCCACAGTCCGCTGGCTCTGAGAGAAACATCATGGTAGGAGGATGTGGTGGAGCCAATCTTCTCACTTCATGGCAGACAGGAAGCAGAGAAGGGGAGGAGCAGCAGAGAGAGGCGTATGATCCAGAGGCACACCCCTGCGACCCACCTCCTAGAGCATGCGCAGTGGACTCAGCCTCCCATCAGTGTAGTGCCCCCAGAGTCCAATACGCTGTAGAAGTCTTAGTCTACTCAGGTTGACGATGAAGCTTTACCTTCACCTTCCCAGTAACTTCAATCTTCAGACACTGTCATAGTGACTATCGGAGGTATAAGGTGCTAGGGAAACAGCTAGAACTTCACTGTGCCTGGATGTTTTGGACCAGTTTTTGACTACTTACCCTATAATTACATTAGGTAATTTTGAATATTTCCCTTTTCTAGCAGAAATAATGAAAAATATTTTTTGCTGTTTCTCTAGCGATTTCATTATCATGACATCTTAAGATAAGAAGATGTTCCTAGTACTTGAAATTGTCCAAGATGATAGATATACTTCTTTCCAGAGGGTTGTGGTCACTGAGCTAGATTTATTTATTTTTTCAAAGTTTTATTGATAAACAGATAGCAATGAGACAGTTTCAAATCAAATCGGAAGTACAGTTTCAACAAATAATACACTGCATATATTCTTCTTAGTGGTTAATTGCTGTACAAGATGAGGACTTGTGATGCTATTTACAAACACCATTACAACAAATCATTCTATTCATTAAGAGAAACTGAGCTAGATTTAAATAGGACTGGGTTAAGTCTATTCCTCTGGGCCTCATGCATAATGTTACAGTAAGTACCCTCTCTGACTTTCACTGGAATGTAAGGACATATTGGGAGAGTACAAGTGATTTCAGGAGGACAGGTAGTCTCGTCTACTCTGTCACACTACATTCTAAGCTCCTGTACTGTCTGCCATTCCGTAGGTGCTCAGTTGAATAAATCAGGTATTGTTGTCATGGGCAGAGCCCTAGCTACTACTGTTCATTCTCCAGCGGGGCACACGTGCAGCTGTCGGCGTTCCACATCGTATAGACAGAGGGCAAAGTGGCTTCCTTCCTGTAGGGACTCATTACTCAGTGTAAACCTCTTGGACCTGTACAAACAAAGGAAATCTAGGTTCCATCGTTTTGTTCTAGAGAAGAAGATTGGGATTTTATTCTGCCCAAGAACTTGTATGAACTTACCTGTATCCTTTCTCTTTATCTACAGAAAAGCGAGGACTCTATTTGAAAAAAATGCTGCCCCAATTCTACATTTATCTGGCATGGATGTGACAGTTGTTAAGGTAAGCAAGGCTCTAGAGCATACATGGTATTGTAGCCAAGCTTCTCCCTCGCACCTTCTGCCATATCCTGTGCTCTTGATGTCTCAGCAGAAATCACTTGTCACTTATGAGCAAAGAATTCAGTGTCATCTTGTTCTGACAATTAATAAAAGTGGTTTGGTTTTGTTATGACAGTGTCTGCTTTCATTTTCAGGGTTTTTGGCCAGTTTAGCCTGTCCTGAGGGCGGGGCTGGCACAGCAAGTGGTGCCAGGGATCGAACCGCGGTCCCCTGTGCCTGTCTAAGTTTGCCTAATAAGGCACTTTAGACCACTGAGCTACCTTGCTGGCCCAGTGCTTTCATTTTCAGAACAGGATTAGATGGAGGCATGAACCTTAATACCCTTCATCTGAGAGATAGGAGATGAAACTATCTGTTGAAGGATGAGAACATTAGGATTTTTTTCCTAAAAAATGTGAAACCCTCAAATTTGAGTAATTTAATTTCTTGGTAGCTTCACTTACAAGTAGGCATTCTTTTTGATAAGGAATTCTCTGGTGAAGAACTTTAAACCACAAATCTTTAGAATTTAAGAAAAAAGGGGACAAAAGTTCTATAGAGTTGTGCTAAATCAGGTGTATGAAGTCTTTACTTTGTTGAATTTTAAGTGATATATGTGGGGATGTATTTAGTGAAAACCATTTTTACAATGTGGAAAGTCTGATTGTAATATTACATACTTTTAGGGTGACATAGAGCTTCAGCAGTCATTTAGTCTTAATTTACTGTGCAGTTTTTAGCTCTTCCTCTGTCTGGGACATGGCCTTCCAGTTTACTGTCGGGGATCAGGGGAAAGAGTACATTTGAGTAGCTCCAAGACCCTAGCTCCTAGGTAGGCAAGCTCTGGGATGCTTATGTAAGACTAATAGTATCTGTTTTCTGAATGATTTTTTATTTTTTTCCATAATTTTATTGATAAACAAATAGCAATGAGACAGTTTCAAACCAAATTTGTAGGACAATTTCAATAATTAACACATTGCATACCTTCTTCCTAGTTGTTATTTGCTGTACAAGATGCGGACATGATATCCTATTTACAAACTCTATTAGAACAAATCCCTCTATTCATTAAGAGAATGTAACTATATATCTATCCTAACCATTTTGATTTGTTTTCTGAATGATTGATGCCATTAATGGACAAAACCATCTGCGCTTAAACTTCTGTTAGGAGCAGATTTTCTTTGGGAAACCTCTTCAGTGGTTCTAGAGAAATCCCAATTTTTATTTGTTATAAATTTTTTTTTCATTTATTTCATCTACATTTTCAATTAGATGGCATCAAGTTATTCGTAATATCTTTTTAACTTTCAAATTTCTTTTTTTAAAATTTATTTTATTGTTAATGTGTGTGTGTGTGTGTGTGTGTGTGTGGCCAGCTCAGCCCACCAGGGGGCGGGGCTGGCTGGCATGTGGTACTGGGGGATTGAACCGCGGTCCCTGTGCTTTGCTTAGCTTGTTCTAAGTAGGTGCTTTAGACCACTGAGCCATCTCACCAGCCCTAACTTTCAAGTTTCTTACAGCACCTGTATAGTGCCATTTTTTTAATTTTATTTTTTCAGTATGGAAATGGACTTGGGGCCTTAATGTTGAGCTACATCCCCAAGCATACACCATCTCTTAAAAGTTGAGATTATGTCTCCAAGTGCTAGGATTTCAAGTGTGTGGCATTGTGCCTGGCTCCGTTTTCATTCTTAATATTGCATATTTGTGTCCCTTTTTCTTAGTGGTCTTGTTTATCAATTTCATTAGTGCTTGTCAAGAACAGTTTATTGGTTTGTTCATCTTACCTGTTTGTTTCACGCAATTATTGTCTCTTTCATTATTTTTTCCTTCTTTGGTTTTTATCCTATTGTTGTTTTTATTTACTTTGCTACATGCAAAGTATGATTAAAAAATAGAGTAAATGTTTAAATTTTAAAAAAATTATTACAGTGAAAGCCACATTGCCATTAATTCCCCTGACAGTCCTGTCCCCTTTCTTTGGACACACTTATCCCGTCATTCTTGCCGCTTTCTGAAGCAGCTCTGGATATCGTCTTTCCTGAGTGTCTTGGTAGTGATGGTGGCTGTCTCACTGCCTGGGGTAGTTTCAGGACATTCACCTGTCATGGTCATTGAGTTCAGGGAAGAGCCAGAAGTTGTGCAGATCTGGTGCATAAAAGGTCTGACGACACATTTTGATGTTTTTATGTGACAAAAGTCATTGCAAACATTGTCAGCTGATTCAGAACCTCAGGGCAGCCACAGAAAGACATGAAAGAGGACTTGCAGAACTTCAGCATGTGTCAAGGATGCTGAGATGAGCAGCTTACAGCGAGAGGAGTACAGTGAGAAGGGCTAGGAGCAGTGTGTTCTTTACTGTAATACATTTTCCTCCAGTTTTAAACATTCACTATGTTTCATGATCACAAGTCATATTTCACTAAATTTCACCTTTCCTGCTGCATATATTTAAAGCTATATATTTATTCTGTTGCTTAAGCTATATCCTATAACTGTTGACATATAGTAGTTTCAGATTTACTGTTTATTTCTAATATTTTTTAATTTCAATCATGAATTTGCTCGACCTGTGAATTATTTAGGCAAGTCTTAATTTCCATATCTGACATTTTTTAAGGTATCATTTTGTTCATATTTTCTGACTTAATTACATCATGATAAAAAGTAGTCAATATAAATTCACTTATTTATTTATTTATTTATTTATTTCAGTACCAGGGGTCAAACTTGGGACCTTGCACTTGCCAGGCAGGTGCTTATGCCACTGAGCTATATCCCTACACCACATAAATTCACTATTTATAAGGCATTGCTAAAAGCCTACAAACAGGTTATGTTAGAGACCTGTCCATGGCTTTGACGGAATGCTTGATCCATAAACATTTATCATAATTATTGGTATATTTAAGCTTATTTCTACACCAGTTGTCTATTGCTGCATAGCAGACTGGCTCAGCCACTGCTTTTTCTGATTATGATCCCAGTTATTCAGCAGTCTGTTATTTTTATTTTTTTATTTTTTTGGTACCAGGGATTGAACTCAGGACCTTGTACTTGCCAGGCAGACACTTATGCCACTGAGCTATCTCCCTGGTCCAGCAATCTGTGTTTAAAGATGTTCTTGTGTTGGTCTTGTCTGTGCTCAGTGGCGTGGCTGACACATCCTTTCTCGTGTCTTTAGGTTGATGGTGGCCGTCATATGGCCAGTGTGTCTGCTGGACACCATCACACAATAGCTTGGTTCTTTGAAATGTATCAACAGGCAGTACCTCATGTTATCCCAAATACTTTGTAGTCTGTATGTTTTGGCAATATAGATGCTCTTCTATGAAACTACATTTTCATACCCAGCAAAAGTAACTGTTCTCTAGTAATCATCTTGAACTACTTAGCCCACGTTCAAATGTCCTGTGAGTATGTTTTGTTCTAATTTGATACTTAGCAAGTATATTATGTGCAGTCACTACTCAGGAAATAGAAATTTAAAAGGATGAGAATTAAAAAGTAATAGAAATACTGATATTTTCTTGGAATAGAAACTGCTGCTATTTGTAGGTTTTATTGTCCATCTTTTAAAGTTAGCTTTTATTTTGAAGCAATTTCCAGTTTGGGTCCTGGTTCTGGCAGGTGGGATTTTCTGTTAGAGTTGCCAGCCCTGAGCAGATCTGGGCCTATTGTCTTCCCTCCTGTATTCCTGGGAAGCCCGCATCGACCCTCAGCTCCACCTGCTTCACTGAACGCCCTGAAAACTCTTACTGTTTAGGTGCTGTTTTGAGTTCAGTATTTCATACTGTATTCTTGTTTATTGATATATCCAAGATATTTGTATTCTTTTACTCCGTATCTTTAATTTTCAGTGACAGAGCACTTCATTTGTTATTTTGCTGGAGTGCGACCTTGTAGTATTTCATGTACATGATTGTAGATGATGTACATGTATGTGTGAAGTGTTCTCTTTATGAATGAGGACACAGGGTGCAAAGCTGCATAGTTACACAGCTGTGACAGAGGCGGGATTTACCTCTAAGGTGTGTGTTTCCTGCCTCCACTTGATATGAAACATATTACCCTCTGAGACATCTTACTCATTGTAGGGCAGCGCTATTAGGATATTCTTCTTTTTTTTTTTTTAAATGTATTTGGTACAGGGTCTCACTAGGCAGCTCGGACTCGTAGTGATCCTCCTGTCCTCCTGTCTTCAGCCTCACCAGCACTGGGATTACAGGTGTGCACCACCACCACACTCAGACTCTTGGTGGCTGGCTCAGCTCACCTGGGGGCAGGGCTGGCATGCCATGTGGTCCTGGGAATCAAACCCTGGTCCTTGCGCTTGCCGAAGCAAGTGCTTAGCTTGCTGAGCTGTCTCACCAGCCCAGCATATTCTTATTTTAAGAAAAAAGTTTTGTTTTTTAAATTTTGAGGTACTCATAGGTTCCTGTCTTGTTGAAATTACTCTGCATGTCTCTGACACGAAACATTGTCATTAAACATGGCCAGGCTCAGGTGTCCATTTGTGACTACTTGAAGACACACCTGTATTTTTACGTACAATCACAGCAAAACTATAACTTTCTATTACTTACCAGTGGTGAAACATTGCCTGTGCAATTGCTGGATGTTCTGTCCCATAACAGCAGCCGAAGGAAGCTGTTATGGCCTCTCCCCAGTACATGCTTCAATTGATAAGGAAATTAAGATTCAGAGAGTTTCAGGCCAATCAGAAAGTAGCAGAGTTAATCCAGGCCTCTTGGGCCCTGAAATTTGTGCTCTTCTCCTTACATCTGTCGCTGCTGCTGCTTATTTGCACGGATGCTCGACTTCTGCCTTCCTGTGAAGAGTGATGGGTAAAGGATGGGGCGGAATCTTCGGTCCTTTCACTAGCTCGCTATGTAACTGGAGCAAGTTATTGAGTTTCAGTTTGATTTTTAAAGTGAAAAGCTGCAGTTTCCCTTCTGGACTCTTAAAGAATAAACCTGTAAAACTATACCTGATTGCTTTCAGAGCTGGGTTTTTTTTTTTTTTTTTTTTCATTTCTATTATGTAAAATTTATAGTAGGAGAGTACGGAAAACAGTGTTTAAAGAAAATATTCCATATATTTCACCTTGGTCCTGTGCCCCTAGCATAGTAAATTTACCAGACTTCCTTTGCATTTCAGACGGATTATGAGGGACAAGCCAAGAAACTCCTGGAACTGATGGAAAGCACAGATGTGATCATTGTTGCCGGAGGGGACGGGACCCTACAGGAGGTAGGATTTTTTTTTTTCCTCTTTGAGGCCATTTTGAAGTTGAGAAAAATTAAAATTAGATTTTTAGATATACACATATATACATATATATATTATTGGCAGAACTAGGGATTGAACTGAGGCCCTTGTGCTTGCCAGGGAAGCACTTGTCTTACTGAGCCATCTCCCCGGCCCCGATGCTTATATTTTTATGTTGAATTATTCCCTTAGCCGATATGTAGTGACCTCCTTTATCTCTTCTGATGACTCATAGCTTGAAGACTTGTTTGCAATTAGAACAGCTCTTCCTGCTTTTTTCTGGGTTCCTGTTATGTGAAGTATTGTTTCCCATCCTTTAACTTTCATTCTAGAAATTTCTTTTGGGGTTATATGTGTTTCTTGCCTGTAGCATATTGTTGGGTCTTGGTTCTTGATTCATTCTGCTCATCTGTGTGTTTTGATTATTGAGTTGAGACCATTTACATTGCTGGTTATAAATGATTGCTTATCCTTGTCATTTGATTATTTTCCGACTATTTTCCTGCTGTTCTTTTTCTTTCTCTTGTTTTTAATTGCTCTCCTTACCTGGCGAATTCATTCTTTTTTTTTTTTTTTTTTTGTATTTTAAGGAAGAGTCTACAGTGTGTTCAGGGTCTCACTACTAGAAAGGATCCGCCTGTTTACAGCCTCCCAAGAGGTGGAATTACAGGTGCACGCCACCACACCCAGTCTCAATTGCCCTCTCAGCACATCCAGGGGCAGGGCCGGCACGATAGTCCCAGGGATTGAACCCCGGGCTCCTGCACCTGCTTGTAGGTGCTTTAATCCACTGAGCTATTTAGCCAGTCCTTGGTGAATTCATTCTGTTGAGCTTTTTAGCATTGGTATCTTCATTGTCTCTTTCTAGCATATCCATACAAACTTTTTGGAGTGCTGATTTGATGGTCATGAATTTCTTTAGATGTTCTCTATTGTGGAAGTATCTTATTTCCCCTTCAATTTTGAAAGATAATTTTGCAGAATACGTGAGTCTTGTTAAGTTTTCTTTTCGGGCTTCAAACACTGCGCTCTAAGCTCTCCTTGACTTGCACAGGCTGGGCTTGAACTTGAAATCTTCCTGCCTCAGTCTCCCAGAGCACTGGGGTTACAGGCATCCACTTGGCTGGCATGTACCGTTCTTTATCCACTCACCTACCAACGCACATCTTAGAAGTCTGAGTTTGTATTGAGAATCATCTTTCCTTTATAGGTGATTTGTATCTTGACGTAGTTATAATTTAAGAATTTTTTTTTGAAATTCATTTTTTTAGGATCATTGCTCTCAAACTCTCAGATTTAATACAGTTCTAAACTTCGCTCATGCTCTTGTTTTTGTAAGCCCTCTTTGCCTAGCATATAGAAGGGCTGATGTGTTATCAAATTTCAGTTTGATAAAATTGATTAACAATGGAGGCAAAAGAATGATGGGTAGGATAAGCTTATTCTGTTTTGAAGACTTGTATGAAGTAACCCTGTTTGAAATGGAATTATAGTTTTATAGTTTCAATAAAGATTCCTTTATGTTTTTGTTTTCTGTTTTTTTTTTTTTTTTTTTGGGTGTGTGTGTGTGTGTGGCCAGTGCAGCCCACCCTGGGGGCAGGGCTAGAGCAGCAGGTGGTGCCGGGGATCAAACCGTGGTCCCTGCGTGCTTGCCTACACAGGTGCTTTAGACCACTGAGCTATCTCACCAGCCCCCAAAGCATTTATTTATTATGAGTCTGTCCTTGCAGCACATAATGTTTGCCACCCCCATCCCAGGGAGTTGGTACACAACTATGGTACATCGCCATGGTTTTCTCAACCCTCCCCTCATCCCTCTCCCCTCTCCCTCCACCTCTTGGGCCATTTTCCCACTTGTGACAGATCTGTCTCCCTGTCTTCTGCTGTCTAGCTTTTATTTTGCTGTTGAACGTATTTGGTCTTCTTGCATAAGAGAAGCTGTGTGCTGTTTAAGCTCCTGTGTCTGATCTGTTTACTTAACATTATGGCCTCAAGTGCGTCCATTGTCCTACTCAAGTTTGTCCTTCTTCGTGGCAGAGTAGTGCTCCATTGTGTTAAGTAGCACACTTTGTCCATTCATCTGTTGGTGGATATATAGCCTCCAAGACTTAGCTGATCTTAGGGTCAGGGAGATAGCTCAGCGGTCTAAGTGCCTATCTGGCAAGTGCAAGGTCCCGAGTTGTGTGTGGATCACTGTCATATGCTGTCTTGAGCCCTTTGGGGAAGCCACCTCAAAGGGCAATAGCTGGGTTGAATGCAACATTATTCTTGTAGCCAAAGCTGCTCCAGACTTCAGAGTGCTTGTCAAAGCGTTGCCTCAAATTATTTGTCAGGAACTTGAGGAAGCGCCTTCTACCCCTCAAACTCATTTTCTCCAGGGATAAATCAGACTCCTTTCTGCCCCTGTTCACTCAATTCTAGGCATCCTCACACCGTGATGGAGTTGACTTCAGTGTGTGTGCCAGACACCATGCCAGCTCCTGCGGCACAGTGGTGGCCAGGAGGGCCACAGGCTCTGTCTTAGTTACTCTTCTCTCGTTGCTGGGACAAATACCCGACACTCAAAATGAAGGAAGGAAAGGTTTATTTAGCTCACAGTTACTGGAGGTTTCAGTCCATACTCGGCTGGGTCCAAGGCAGAGCAGCACATAGTAGAGGGCAACCTTTCATGGCAGCGGCAAAGAGCAAGAGAGCAAGGGAGGGGTAGCAGCAGCTCAAGCAGCTGGCTTCTTTTCCCACCTTACATTGTAATGCAAATTACCTGCCCCAGGGCAGGTACCGCATCCACACCCACAGTAATCAATCACAAACTCCAGAAGCTACCCCAAGACTGCATGAGGCTTTGGGGGGACACCTATACACAAACCATAACATTCCGCCCCTGGACTCCCAAAGACTCATGCACATCCCTTTATGCAAGACATTCCAGTCCATCTCTATATTGCCAAAGTCCCAAAAGTTTTGGCATTGCTGAAAAGTCCAAGTCCCAAGATCCAAGGCAAACTCAACTGTGAGCCCCTGTACAAATGAAAACTTAAACACTTGCAACATTCAAAGGCACAAGATAAACACTACCATTCCAAAAGGTACACACATCAGGATACCAAGCATTGGGACCAACACAAGTCCAAAATCCAGCAGGGCAAGCATTAAGTCCTGCAGTTCCATGTGGGACATCCCAAGCAATCTGTGATGAGTTGTGAGCTCCATGAGGCTCCGCCCCTGTGGCACTCTTGGTGGTAGCTCCCATGGCTTCTCTCTTAGGCTGGCTTTGCTTCCTCCTTGCAGTTTCCCTTAGCCGATCCACATTCCTGGCTTTTCCAAACTTCTGGGGTTT